AATATATGAAATTATATCCATTTGTACTCTTATGGGGTTTTAAGTAAGGAATTTTCTTGCCTAAAATTTCAAGACTTTTTCTTGCTATTTCAAGATTTTTTCTTGCTTTCTCACGGAATCCCTGTAGATGGCCAGACTTCCACTTGCAAAGTCAAGCAGTGCACTATCACCATGGCAACAGTGCCGTTTGTGTACTGTACTGGTTACATTCCTTTGAATGTGGGCATCGGCCAAGAACCCTGCTTAATATTTTATCAGAAAAAGGATTTTTTACGGCTTTTGTTTCTGTAATTTTCTAAACAATATATCAAAAGCAACTAAATATAACTGAGAGCGAAAGGAGACTATGGGAATGAAAAGGTTTATTTCTTATAAACAATAAATCATTATAAGACCAATAATTTATCTCATACTTTTAAACTCTTCTTACAAAATTGAGAATAACAGAAATAAAGACAGCAAAAATGATATTGACATTAACATTTCAATTCAATCCCCAGCTCCATTGATAATAATAACAATAATGGTAATGATAATGATAATAATAATAATAATTATTATTATTATCATCTAATAATGTAATAATGTTTTGTCATGTGTATTTACATAGATGGCTCTACAAGTGTAAAATTAACAAGGGTACTTAGTTACACTGTGTGATCTTCTTGAGTTTTCGTGAAAATGCTTTGTTTCTAATGCTCTCGATATTGCCATTGATATTTATATTGACATCACTGATGTAATGATTCTTATGATATTGTTAACAATAACAATACAAGCTAAAATGAATGTGATATGATTAATGAAAATCTTGATAATTTTTTTCCTGATTCATCTTAGATAGATAAAGAATTAGATAGATAAAGGGTAGAAAAAAAATTAGATAGATAAAGGGTAGATAAAGAATTGTCATCTTAAAGTATGAAGAACTATATATATTTATTTTTCTTACAGAACTTCTACAGAGCATAATGGCTGTCATGACAGCAAGTGTGCTGAACAATTTTGCGGACTTGGCTCTTTCACTTCCGACTCCGTCCTTAGAAGCAACTATCAAACAGAATCCTTCTATTGTAGACTCTACAGGTTTGTCTTATAACTGTTCTATTGACAGCTTTTAATACTGTTTACAAAATGTTATAAACTCATATACATAAATGTACCAGTATATGTATTGATATATATCGTTTTATCTATCTATAGCTGTATCTATTTATATCTGTGTCTATTTATCTATCTATCTAGGTGTAAAATCCATCTTCATCTATGTCTATTTGTCTGTCTCTCCATATAAATTTCTATATCTCTTATTATTGTATTTGAGTTTATCACATCAATTTTTTATAGTAAAGAAATAAGTCAGGTAAATAAAAATTTGTTTAGGTGACTGCTTCTTAAAGTAGAATGGTTCATCCAGAATCAGTGAAGGAAAACAAGTCTTCAAGTTTCTTATTTTTATCTCGTGCATAGCAAACTCGATAGCAATCCCAGGGCAGTGGCCAATGTCCTTTTTTCCCCCCAGCTGCATTAGGTAGATAAGAGTAATTTATTTTCCTCTGATGTTGCGAATACAGGCTATGATGGGAGAACGGCCCTGCAGAAGGCGGTAATGGTGGGGAATCTGCCAGTGGTGAGATTGCTTCTTCAGTATGGAGCAGACCCGAACCTAAGAGCTCAGTCAGGTAAGGCAAAAACAGATAATGGTATATGTTTTCTTTTTACTGTTTATTTGCATTTTTGTTTATTCATTAATAATACACTTTTTCTTTTCTTTTATTGTATATTTGTTTTGTGGATGAGTTGTGTTAGGTATATTTTTTATGAATCATAATGGAATAAATTCTTAAAGTCTTTGTGGTGGTTATGTTCAGAAAAAGTTGCATTTTTGTGGTATTCTCTCCTATATCTACTTGTCAAAAATAGAAATATTTGATGATAGGAAGATTTTGAGATTTAACGAGAGCAAGGGTAAAAAGAAATGTTCAATATTAACTAGAAAACTGATCGCAAAGATTAATTTATCACTCAGCCTAGATGTGACAATTTGTGGAAGGTTCCTCAGTAATGTTGCATTAGTGTTATATTCCTTACATTGAAATACCATTTCTTTTATGGCACAGGCGAGACTGCAGTTCATGTTGCTTGTTGTCGAGGCTTCCTGAACGTGGTGGTCACGCTGTTCAAGCATGGAGGTGACCCCATGATTTTGGATAGTGCCGGGAGAGTTGCGGTACATTGTGCAGCCATTGCTGGATCCCTGTAAGTCAGACTTTTGGTTTTGTAATGTGTCTTCTGGATATTATGTTTCTTTTGGTGAAATTAAGTAACTGTGAATAAGATTGCTCATGAGTGACTATTGGATTGCAGATTTTTTTTGTTTTTATTAATATTATTTTATTTGTGTTATTAGCATATAGTACATAAACTTTCGAAAAAGAAGTATTTTAAGATCACTTAAGAAATCATTTGATGGTTATAGGGGGCTTACATTTTACTCTCTGCTTTTAGTAATGAGGTGTAGAATAAGATATGTAACTGCTATGCAACAGATTTGATAGATCTTATGCCTGTTGATAGTGATGCATTCCTGATAAGAAAGAACAGGATCAGTAAATTATGATTATTGAAACTTGAGGACTTAGCCTATAGTTAAACTATTTACTTTTAAATTGTCTAGGGATATTCTTGTTAAAGATAAAGGTTCGTTTAAGAACAGTACAGGTTTGTTATAAGTTTGTTGCAGAACACTACAAGTTTGTTACAGGTTTGTTTAAGAACAGTACAGATTTGGGAACACTATCTGTACCTTATTCTTTCAACTTCTAGTACATTTATTTTCTTGTCATTATTACTTACTTATTCTTCCAACAGGTTGTTAATACAGTATTTAGCTGAAGTGTGTGAGGTTAACCTTGAGGCGGAGGACGCCCGTGGCTGCACCCCGTTGCACATTGCAGCCGCCTGTGGTCATCTGGATCTTGTGCAATATCTTGTGAATAAGAAAAAGTAAGTTTGTTTTTGTGTCTTTGCTTATTTTAGGTGTTTCTGTTTGCATATGGAGAATTTTAAATTTGATAATACCATTACTCACAGAGCACTCAAAATAGTGCTTCTTTTGAATCAACATGTCACAAAGCTGCATTACTTGAAAATGTCTTAATTTGATATATTTTTTAACAACCAAATTTATAGTACTAAATCTCATTCAAATTAAGGCCTGCCTGTATATATATAACTGTTCTCATTGTTTTTAAAATATATTTTTCTAGCTTGCTACATTCTTACTACTACCATTCTTACCAAACAGAGTGAATCGTACAAAAGTGGACAGTGAGGGTAACAGCGTGTTGCATGCCGGAGCTGCAGGTGGGGTGTCGGGAGTGTGCTGGGCGATCACATACCCAGGTGCTGAAAGCCTCCTTACAACTCACAATGCTGCTGGTCTTACGCCTACTCAGGTTGCGCAGGCCTCGCTCTCTGTGTAAGTGTTTTTTTTTCCTTGTGTTTTTTTTTTTTCTTTTTTGGTGTTAAGTCATTTGACATTTTTGATTTTCCTTTCTCATTTCTTTTAATTTATTGATTTATTTTACTGTTATCATGTATGTTTAACAATTAATCAAACAGTAAAGGACGGCAGTGTCAGATCTTCATGTGCACTTGATGAGGAAAAACACTTTTTTCCTCTCTACTTTGTTGCACATTTGTTCGGTTCAAAATAGTTCCAGTTTTAGTATTTGTAATATGGACACTTTAAGCACTTGTTTTATTCAGCTTTCACAAGATCAGAGTCTTAAGCTGAAAAAAGTAATCCTTTTAGTGGTACATTTTATTTGTCTGTTTAGTTTACTTTTATCTTCGAGTTTTGTATTTTGTATGATGAATGTTACTTATCCTTTTCCTCTATGTGTAAATAGGAAAAAAATGAAAAAAAATCATCGCATAGAAAAAAGAAAAGAAATAAAACCTCAACATCCTAAATATTCAGTTTTTTTTTTTTGAAAGATCTGTTACTAGCCTGCGCTCTATTCCCTTAGCTCCCCAGACTGCCGCAAGTGGCTGGAGAAGTGGACACACCAGTACTCTCGAAGCGGAGCGGTTGAGTCCCCTCGCTGGCCCTGGCTCATACAGCTGTTAACCCCCGTGACCTTGTTCTATATTGGCATTGTAAGTGTTAGAGGGAGAAGGAGAAGGAGGGGGAGGAAATAGAGAGAGTGAGGAGGAGGAGAGAGGCTGAGATTGGGGTGAGGGTGTGGATGAGAGTGAGAGTGAGAGTGAGGGTGAGGGTGAGGGTGAGTGAGAGTGAGAGTGAGAGTGAGAGTGAGAGTGAGAGTGAGAGTGAGAGAGTGAGAGTGAGTGTGAGTGTGAGAGTGAGGTGAGTGAGGGTGAGTGAGAGTGAGAGTGAGAGTGAGAGTGAGAGTGAGAGTGAGGTGAGTGTGAGTGTGAGAGTGTGAGTGTGAGTGTGAGTGTGAGTGTGAGAGTGAGAGTGAGAGTGAGAGTGAGAGTGAGAGTGAGAGTGAGAGTGAGAGTGAGAGTGAGGGTGAGGGTGAGGGTGAGGGTGAGGGTGAGGGTGAGGAGGGTGAGGGTGAGGGTGAGGGTGAGGGTGAGGGTGAGGGTGAGGGTGAGGCGTCGGTATGAGAATGAATCTTGTTTTATGTTGACATTGGGATTATTTAAAGAAAAGAAGAGAAAGAGAGAGGGAGAGGAGAGGGGGAGTGGGGGAAAGAGAGATAAAGAAAGTTGAGAGGGAAGGGCGAAAGGAAGGGAATAAGGGTGAGAGAAGAGAAATGTGGAAATAGCAGAAAGATATAAAGAAGGGAGAATGGAAGGGGAAGAAAGTGAGGGGAGAGGAGAAAAGGTAGAAAGGAAGAAGGGAGAAGGAGACCATTACATTTTGAAATTTCATTTTAATAATATCGGTATAAAGTATACACTTAGATTTAGAGGAAAATGTTCATGTAGAAAGAAAGCTTGTGTAATATGGGCATATTACAGTTATCTAAATTCATCATAAGCACAGAAACCCCATTTTTGCTTTGCTGAAAACTAGTGCATAGAATCTTTCCTTTTTAAGTATTATAGCAAAATTTTGAATAATGATATCAAAACCAAAATTGGTACATTTCAATGATTTTCAATTTTCTTTTCAGATTCTGTCTGTCCTGGCAATGCCCCATCACCAGTGGATGGTCGGAGCCCCGGTGTTCATTGTGGCTCTGACGGTGATGGCCAGACAGCAACACCGCATGAAGCATCCAGTTAGGTGAGTGGCGAAGGCGAATGTGGTTTGGGATTTTTGTGTTTGATTTTACAGTGTTAGTTCAGAAGAATTATTTCACTGTGTGGTAGTGATGGGTGGGAAAGGATACAAGTTTGAATTCATGGTCACTAAATCAGGAGGAATGTTGTTTTGGGATATGTCAAGGAATATACTTTTTAAAATATTTTTTCTCTCAAAGAAAGTATTTGTTTCAGCATTTAAGAAAAGAGGTTGAATTCTTGTATGTATATTTATTTATTTATTTTGTTTATATTTAGAGGCTGTGTATTGTAATTATATAAATAATTTTTTTTTTCCCCAATAGATGGCCAAACCCCATATACCTTGGAGCATATGGAGGAGGACTCTTTTCTACAATAGCGTGCTACATCATCTCAGTGGAAGCTTACCGGCATGAATATCTCATTGTATCGCTTGTGATGTGGATTGTGGCCGGCTTTCATATAGGACTCTTTTACAAACTGATAACAGGTCTGTTTTGTGTGATGTGTGTTGTAGAAATGTGGCTTGAGATTTATATTGATCACTGATTAGTTTGATACATATTCAAAGTGAATCTTTTAGGTAATGAGTGTAAAATAAAGATTGGAGTGTAGGAAGAGAGGCCAAGATGCTAGCTTTGATTGTTATCATAAGCTGTGGCATTATTGTGCAAGGTATTTAGGCTTTCTATATAATTCTTAACCACATTACCAAGCCTTCAGGAAATGTCAGTATTTTATACAATTACAACCACAGTGTAACCTTACCTTGCAGGTGATCCAGGTATAGTACGTGCTGAAGGGCCACTTCAGGAGGTGCTAAGAGGTGTGGGTGAAGGAGTGGTCCGGGGCTACTGCTCGGAGTGCCAGCTCGCCATGCCCCCTCTCTCGCATCATTGCCGCCTGTGCGTCAAGTGCCACCATCAGATGGACCACCACTGCCTGTTCCTCAATACTTGCATTGCGTCCAACAACCACTGGCACTTTGTTGTGTTCGTGATGACAAATCTCTTGCTGATGGTGGGGTTCGTGCATGGGGCGTTCATTGCCACCATGCCCAAAACAGACGAAGGAGACTGGGTAGAGAGGCTGTTAGCGCATATTTTGTATCTCCTGAATGAAAATGTGTGGGCCCTGCTAATGATAATATGCAATGTTGTCTCCTTCGTATGGGGCTTCCATCTTTTAAAGTGAGTATTCTTTTATATTTTGTTTTTGTTTTGATGTGTGTCCGATGTCATTTGAATTTGTTATTTCAGAGTATGCATATACATATTTTGCCTTTGCTACATCAACTTGGGCTGCTAAAAGTGGCAAATTTTCCTTCAATGAACCTTAGGCATTTGAAAAGTCAAATGGTATAATAATTACTTTGTAGATAGGTAATCATGCTTGTTCTATTCATGTACTTATTTCTTTTAGGAAGAAAATGGTATATAGATATTTCTCATTGATATTGCAGAGGCCAGTTCAAAGTCATTGGGTCTCAACAAACAACACTATGCCGCCTAAAGCTTGGAACCCCTTTGGCCAAACTGACGATGAAGGAGAGGATGAAGAACGTGTGGAGTTTCCTTGTTCGCGGCAGAGTTCCGTTAAGCAATCAGACTCATTACTTCAACCAAGTCTAGCTCTCGGGTGTTACGTAGTAGTTTTATTTTGACATGTCATGTTTTTTTTCTTTGTCTTTTCTCTATAGCACAATGCTCGTTTTAGAATTATGTCAGGGCAGCCAAGATGAAAGTCCTCCTTCCTTACAAACTCTGTGTGTGTTTTACCTGAATATTTTCTTGAATTCTTACTCAAACTGTGTCGTATCAAAAACGTGGCTCGGATTTGTAATGCATGCTGAGCCACTTCTGCTTTATGTATGTTGCATTATGTGTATTTCATTCATAGTTCACATGTGTATTGTAGTTTCATTTAGTTGTTTAGTGCTTGTGTTATTCAGTTGTCTTAAAATCATATACCAAGTGATGTGTTGTAAGTCACTCTCAAACTATATTGTTCATTTTTTTTTCAAATGTTTGCTGAACCGGTTGCACCTGAATAATTTGCTGTGATAAATGAGCCAGGTAGTAATTTTAGATGGAGGAGAAAAAAAGATGTCCTGGGATAAGTTATGTGAAAAAAAACACATTCAAATTCTTGCTAATGATTTGCTCTACTGAACATTTTTTTTTATTCTGTATTCATTCAGCTTTGAGTTTTAAAGAATTTTATATCTAAACATTATATGATATCATTTGTAACATACTTCAGGGAAACTAGTTATGTTTCCAAATGAACCCAGTTCTTTTACTCTGAAAAGTCATTTAAAGGGGACCCAGTTATTAATATAAGTATTTGCATTATGTTACCAAAGGAAGTTTGCTTCTTGTGAAGTTAATGATGCCGAGGGAGGGAGTGTAAAGACTTGCTGCCTTTTTGTAGAACAAGACATTCCAGAAAAAAGTGTTTCTTTACAGATTTATTCTTACAACAGAGATAACAAAATATTTACAAGTATTTTTACTGAATGTATAATTTTGTCAGTAAATTTAGATATTCTTTTGTAATGAAAAGGCAGTTCCCTTGTCTAAATATCATCAGAAAAATGCATAAATCATCAAAAAGATTTTGATTATATTACTAGCTTTGTAATAAAGATGATAAAAACATGAAATTTTAGTACGTGAAAAGAGGAGTTACAATTTTATCAGATATTTTGATAGGTGTCTATGAAAGTCATAGAATTTTAAGGTACTATTTTCCAATTTTGTGAAGGCCTGGATGAAGGAGAGCTAGCATTATGTTTTATTTTAGGTGTTTTTAAAAATGCCAAATGGACATTACATTGTTTTTTATCTTAATTTCTTCTCCTTTCTGTAATTTTGTTTTTGTTTTTCCTAGCTGTATAAAAATTTGTTAGCTAGTTTTGATTAATAGTTATACAGCAAGACATTGAATGAATAGTTTTTTGTCTTTTTTGACTGTATTTTAAACATGTAAATTCCAGAGCTTGTGTGCAAATACATAACATTTTTTAATTAGCCCACAATTATTTTATTCCTTAGTTTATGGATTTTATTTTTGAAAAGCTCTGACACGTGATAGCAAAATAAAATTAAAGTAATTAGGTATTTTTTTAGAACAGTTTATTGATTTCTGGAAACATGAAACAGGTGGTAAAAAAATAAATGAAATACCGGTGACAAAACTACATCACGTCTGTAATCGGTATTGTTCATGTGCCGACAGACAGGAATGATCTCCTTCGACAGAACCGGTGGCATATTGTGCTTGAGACAAATGAGAAACACCATCAGTTTTGGAGGTTTCTATTGGTTAAATCTACGAACCTTGACTCCAGCACCTTCAGATGTATTGTGAATCGTGTACACATCACTGGAAAACAAATGATGAGGTTATAATTACATCTGCATTGATTTATTTTCATTGGCAGTAAAGTAAAAAAGTTGATTTTACAAATATTTTTACACATCGAAAACCAGTTGTATCGGATTAGCTGCGGTGGGGAAAAAAGTCAATTTCTCTATTACTTCATATTTTTGGAAATCGGGAAAAACAAGTGTGGCAGATCCATAAACCAAGGAATAAAATAATTGTCACCTTATTTATTTAAATATGATTACATTTGAGCATAATAACAAATTTGAAGTTCCTTTTTTTTATTTGATTAGAAAATAGAGCTCAAAACTAACATATTCTTGTATGAAACTGACCTAGGAACTACTTAAAATTGTGTGGGATTTTTGTGAAATTATAAAACTATAATTCAAATTAAAAAAAAAACTGTGCCAATTAGATATGATTAGATAAAGATCCGAAAAAGGTAATAAATATGTAAACAGTGTTGTTTTTATGTTTTTATGTATTACCTTTATATTTATATATATCTGTATATTTATTTTGTATGAAAAACCGAAGACACATCTCGGGAAAAGAGACTTCTCAATTAGTGTTTGTGAATGTTGGAGCCATAAATAGAGACTATTGGACTGCATTGCGTAAAAAAAGGTTAGTTTTGGGCGCTGTGGAAGAAAGGGAAATTATAGATAGCTGATCTATAAATTGAGATGGTATGATAGCATCTGGTGAGTGGGAGTTTGAAAAATTCACTTCACTCGGAATAGAAGCCGTATGCCCAATCATTTTATTAGGATTCAGAGATTTCATTAATTGAAAGGTTGGGGCCAAGTAGTGTTCGCAGGTATGGTTTAACCCAATGTCGTTAGGAAGGTGTAATGACCGCTGTAGTTTCGTATTGTTTAATTGTCAGTACACATCGGTGGTTTTACAGGTGATTAGCCACCAAGGAGTTGATTACTAGGCTGTATGTGTGACCTCACCTGATTTCTCCTTTCTTTGAATTTTTGGGAAAATGTTTTTTTACTGATGAAATTATTATTACTACTATTATTATTATTATTATTATTATTATTATTATTATTATTATTATTATTATTATTATTATTATTATTATTATTATTATTATTATTATTATTTTTATTTTTTAATCATTATTATATATTATTATCATCACCATTATCATCATTATCATTATCATTATTATTATTTTTGAAGTTGTTATTATTAAACTGTTGTTAACAATTCAAATAGGAATATAAAATAGATATTTAGAAAGATCAAGAACAGGAAACAGGTGAGATAGGTAGGACTAGTACCTGACAAACCACTTGCAGAGTCATCTATATGTAAATATAATTAATAAACTGAA